TCTGCTCAGAATCGTTTTATTGAATGCAATTATTTATCACTGCTTTAAAATGTGATACTCAATGGTGTGATTGATGAGTTACACTCGAAACTTCTTATACAACAGAGTGAGTTGCCAGTTGTGTTTTAAAAACCTCGCTGTTTAAAAATTTGAAAATATTTCATAGACATTATACTCGTACTTTAGCCAACAAATTTACTAATGATCGTTTTTTAAACGATAATTCTTTTAAAATTATAAATAATTATACAATATTGGCTATTTTAGAGTGACAGGAGCAAGATGAGTGATAAAATAGTTTTTATGCATAGGTATCGAATGACTAAAAATTTTAAGTTGTATAGYATAATACATTTTTTATTTAATTTTTCTATTATTGTATTGATATTATAGTAAATTATAATTATTTATTTAATTTTGTTTTAGAGCCTTGTAGATTGGAATCGACCCATGTTTTGGCAAGTTGGATCACTAGGCCCAAAGTATAAAGAATGGGTATTGGCTCCTGTTGATCGAAAACTGAGATTGTTCGGCTCCGACTTCATTGAATCGCTCACCATTACTTCATGGTATATGGTGCCATCGATTTGGATACCTGTAATGTTTTACCTGATATTTATTGGGTATCAGAGGTTAAGAAGTTCACTGGCCAGCACATTAGATCAATCAATTACTTCAGGTATGAAAAGCAGATTATTTTACAAATAGCGCCTTTACAATTTTAAATATTTACAAAATGTGTACCTGTTAAATAAACAATATGGTTTATTTTATTKTTATTTTTAGTATTGTTTTTGTTAGAGACCAGAATATTTATACAATTATGTAATCAAATATCAACATTATATGTTTCTTATTAATTTAAATATTTTATCTGCATTGGAATTTAGAAAGCTTTATCTGTGGGTTAGTGAATAATAAATTAATATAATAAATTCAAATTAAATATTTTATATACTWATAATAAATATTATAATGTACATACAATATACATTCAATGTGGTTTCTTTTCACGAATCAGTCATTAAACATTTAAACGATTTTCCAAATTGTTTTTTTTTTATGCATACAATTTAAATATTTTCCTATATCCCATGTTGTTACTTGTTAATCTATCACCTCCCTACAAGTTTAAGGCCATTTGCTTTTTTTTAAATGTGGGTTTTAATTTTTTTTTTTGTTAGGTATACGGATGTACCTACTGAACTGTGTGGATTTTCGAATTTAAATGTTTTAAGAATGGTTGCGTATATTACGCAGTTTATCCCAAAGGTCCGTTTCAAACTATAATTATCTCCAAAGCAAATCATTATAAAAAGAATTCGCTATTCAATTTTAATTATCTTATACGTTATCATAGAAAATTCGCTTTTAAATATATTTATGTGATATCAACCATCATCTTTCAGATATCCTAGGTCTCTGGAACACACTGTATATACATTATAAATATGTACCTAGTTTATTTCTCATAATCATTTAATCAACTAATAAACCATTTTAGATAAAACTATTCAATCAATTACTTTAAATTTCGACAATTTTACTGCCTCATTGGCTTGGCTATTAGTTCATAAGATATAATTTATTTAAATTATTATCATACAATTTAATTTATATAGTTTTCATAAATATTTGTAACTATTGATGTAATCTATTCTCTTAAAATATTTTAATGACACCTTTAATTTATATTTGTTTATTAACCGCTAATATAATATAGGTAATTCACTAGACGGAGTACACGTCATGTTAGACYGTAAAAATAAAGTTTCATACTATACTTTTTTGCTTGTATATATAATTAAAACTGTTTAATACAGAAAAAGGCAGGTGCGAGTTTTTATAATTGGTTAGAAGACGAATACGAACACATTTTTATGATAATATATAATATAATATAAAATTCATTCATATTAATATGTCTATTTTTTATATAAAGTTTAATATACATGAATCATTAATAAAGTATAATAAAATACATTTCGAAGTTTAATTTTTTTTTAACGTTTTAATAAATTAGCAATAACCTAAGTAAAACTGTTCTGTTGTGTATTGAAGTGCCAAAATGGTAAGTCAGCCAAATGGGATGCTGGCGAGACTAGTCGATTTTTAGGTCATGACGTCAAACTTCTCTATTCCACTCGTGTAACGACCTACACGATTTATGGTCAATAAAAAAAATAAGTTTTATGCAATTGGTTGTTTGTAGATTTTTTTAAATAGATATTTTGTTGATTTACAAGGACGTTAATTTTGTGTATAATACTGT